TTGAAAATACCATTGATGCCATCTTAGCAGAAAATGTAACAAAAAATGTAATTGGGCTCGCATTATTGCGATATTGGGAATTTGCAGCAATTGATCAAAAAGAAATTGGTAAAGTCGCACAGAGGTTGTACGGTATTAAAGTTAATTCTGCACCATGTGAGCACCTGTTTTCTCGAATAGGATGGTTCCAAAATCCAAGACACAATCATCTTAAAATAAGAGCAATGTTATTTGAGTTTGGAACAGGTTTATTTTTCATATGAGAAATAAAACCGGTTCCAAACTCTGCATGTATTTGAATTTTATAAATTTATTTTAATAAAAACTTATCTTGTAGGTACAAACAATCTTTAGGATGACTCAAATCGTGGCTGAGATGAAATGAGAAGAACACGTAGATAATGCTGAAAAAATGTTATTGCAAATCGTATTACTAATTCAAATAATAGTAAAACAGCAACAACACACTGTAAAACACAATTTGAATCAAGCTTTGAACAAAGAAATGAAAGAGACAACCCAATTGCACTTGACCTTACCAAAAATATGCATATTCTGATACTTGATGGTAAGATGCCTAACAAAAATAATTATGATGCTAATGATTATGATGATTATTCCAATGATGAAAATAAAGAAATAACAAACGACAAATCAATTATCAGAGAATTGACTAAAGATAATGACAATGAAGATGAGAATCTTGAAAATGAGGATCTTGAAGAATTAACTACAACTTCTTATAATATGCAAAATTGTCATCCAGCTGAACACGAAGGTTCAAAGATTGAACTTCAATACCTTTTTACACATGCTTTATCACAATCTTCATTTGTTTGTACTCTTCAGCAAGATGTTGAGAATAATTTTGTATTTTCTAACAATTAGAAACAATCATATAAAATGTAACGCAACCGCTATTTGGTTGATAAATTTTATTATAATAAAGAATTAGTTTTGCTATTAACATTTGTATTAAAAGATCAACTATAAAATATTTTGGCATAATGTAATTAGACTAAATAATATTGAATTCTAATAGATTTAGTTAGCAATTTAGTAAATCGCAAAATATAAAAATCACTACTTACCAAGTAGTATATCCAGTGGGATTTATATTAATTGAATCTGGCTTGTTTAAATGCAAAATATCTTATTGACATAGACTCTTAGCCGTGTATTAGACGTGGGTCTATTATAAATCTTAAAATTAGTAAATGTAAAAGACTCGCGAAGACTTTTAATAGAATTGAACTTAGCTACAAATTATTGGTTGATCTGGTTACACGGACCAACATGACCATGGTTGAACTGGTCATATTGGTCATATTGGTCCGTGTAACTAGATTATTTGACCAATTTGACCAGTATCACAAAATCAGACCAGACCAGTCAATGGTCAAATTGGTCTAGTCGAATAGTCAAATTGGTCTGGTCAAATCTACTCTGGTTCTATCATAAGAAAAATTGAATGCATTAACCATTAAATTTAATTTAGAACACCATCCTATTCTAAAGATATGAAAATGACTAAGCATTCATATGAAAACCAAAAAAAAATTTATCGATCACCATCTTTAGTGTATGGAACCAATCTTGACTTTCAACATGTAGTATGTACTAACCTCATTTCTTTATCTAATTAAAAGTACTTGTATTTTCATTGTTTTTTTTGGTTTAACTATACAGCAATAAGATAAATGATTGCTAATATGTAGTTGTAATTAAAAGACTTATAAACTATGAAAATTTTTATCACAATCTCTAAACCCAATCCCTAAAATATGAATATTCAAGACAACCCAACTTTAACTGTGGATGATTTTTTTAAACTCTCATTTGGGCTAACTCCAATCAAATTAGACCCAACAGAGTTTGTCACAAATGAACTTACTGAAAAACTGTTCGCTTCACTTATAAAATCTTCTTTAAAAGAACAAAGTCCAACTGGAATTTTTCGCAATTTATTTCTGTATCTTGTGGACATCATTAGCAGAAAAATTCCAATCACTAGATTAGTTAACTATATCCAAAAAATTAATAAAAATAATGAGTTTGATGATGTATATAAGATTCTTCAACGTTTTGAAGAATTTTGCACAAGTAGAGATTTCCTTATAGCATTTCTTGATAAAGTTTCCAAAAATTCTTTTTCAAAAATTCTCAATACATTAGTTGCTGCCAATATTCCTATTTCGATTTATCTTTCAAATGATACACATTCTCAAAAAGGCATTAAAGTTCTTAATGGAATGCGTGATATTATTGTTGCATGAAACTATCATCTTTTTATTTTGTAAACCAAGCAACTACTAATTATTTAAAAACACCTTTCACAAAACAACTTTATAAAAATTACTCAATAATCGCGAAGACTGTTTAGGCATTAGTAATTTAAATTCTATTGATATTTCTTTCTATGCTGTATCAGAAAATCATTCTTATCTACCTCTAGCCATCTTGGAAGTTTATTATGATGAATTAGGCTCTTCCACTCTTAGTGATACAGTAAATATATTATTAAAATTTGCATTTATATCATAATCCATATCTCTACTAATGAATTTGATGGAAATGAATTTAATGAACAATTTATTTCTACTATCAATAACATCTCTATTGAATGTTATAGTAGTCATAAACAAAAAATTTTGACTTTATTTTGGGAAATCAGGACTCAGTCTTTTAGCGAATATAAAGAAAAGATTGAGAAGTTATTATACGAAAAATTTCCTAATGATGAATTCTGAATTGAATTTGTCATCAATAATAAGAAGAATGCATTATTTGAAAAGATCAAAAAAGATTCATTCAACAAGCTTAAAGATACTAAAATCTGTAGTTAAATTAGGCTTCTATGAGCTTTTCTAAGATCTTAGCTGATAATACCAAAAATCTTTTATTAGAAAATGATTTTGTATTATCAATAGCAAAACTTAAACTTACTTGTCATGCTAATATATTTTATGCTTCCCATTGTGAAAATAAAATTAAGAAACTACGAGATAAAACATGTCTCAAGACTCCTGAAGATTCAAAGAACTATAAGACCGAAGGTGAAATTTACTAAGATATTTGGAGCTTTTAGAAAAAACAAGAAAATAACGATGAAGGTAGTCCAATCTCAGTTCTTACATATTTTGCAAATATCATTAAGAAGAATAACTTTAAATATATATATGAATTTGCACATCAGGCTGTAAATATCATCTTATAACAATCTTCAGTCTTTTCGAGCACTTCCAATCTCGAATTTAGTCTGATGAAGCTGAATTATCTATTTTATCTAAAAGACTTCCAAAAACAGAAAACATACATTTCTTTATATTGCTGGTTAGTGAACCTCGCAAAGATCTAATTTGTTTCAAAAGCTAAAAGTATTATAATTAGTAAATTAAAATATTTAGAAT